GCTGAACCATCTGAGGAGCAGGAATCTGGTGTTCTGGCAGGATAACAGTAATACTGGGAAGTTCTGGCTCCATATATTTTGGGGACCCATATGAATGATATTGAGATTTTGCACCATTTTGTCAATCCACATGCAGAAACTATTGGAGAAGAAAGGTCATGTGGTTTTGATTGCTTGATTAATGGATTTTAATGCTGTTTTTGTAGTTTCAAAGTAAGAATACTTTGTAACAAGTTTAATTACTGTATTACTGAAGACAGACTCTTTGTGTTTTTTAACATCCTGTAAAACACATTATTACCAGTAGAGTATCAGATGTTGTCTTCTAAAGGAAAATCGTGCTGTCATCCTAAAAGACCTTGACCCATAAACTCCATTCCTGGCCCTACCAGACTTCCCGATGGATCACGGAAAATGACATACTGGGCTTTGGTTTTGTCCTGGTTTGGCTGGGACAGAATCACAGCCCAGCCATGCTGGCAGGCTCAAGCCAGCCAGGGCAGCTGACCTGAGTTAGCTAGAGGTGTAGCCCATCCCATAGTGTCATGGTCATTATAAAGGGGGAAGGTTTGCTGAGGAAGGGGACCTCCTGTGGGGTTTCTGCTTGGGTTCTTCCTGCTTCTTCTCTGGCTTCTCCTGGCTCTTGAGGACTGGATATTTGTTTGTCTGGGTATAACTGTATATCTCTGTTGGTATTAGTGTTATCTCATTAAAATCTGTTTCACTTCCACCTGCGAGTCTGCTCTCCTTTTCCCAGTTCCCCTCCCTGGCTAGTGAGGGGTTGCTGGGTGACAGAGCAACTGTTACAGTTTAGCCCTGCCTACAGGGTAAATGTAGACAGGTTTCCTATCTGTAGAATGAGGACAATAACCTGTATCATACAGACAAGGCATCTGACTTATGTCATTCATGAGAATCATAGTCTGTTATTAGGCAAAGGAGTTGCTTATTGCCCTATAAACGTGTCTCATTATTATAAACACAGCTGAGGTAAGCTAACAGTCAATGTCTCATTAAGCTGCAGAAGCAATCCCATAAAAGTAAGTCGCTTATACCCCTTTCAGAGTTGCTATTAGACTTCTTGCAGATGGCAGTTAGGGGGTTAAGTAGGATTCCCCAATTCTGGATTCATGTATTGATAATGCTTTCTTCTGACAAGAATTCCACGTCTACGCAAACTGCAACTTTTACTTTATTATTCTTCGAACAGAACAATAACGTTAGTTGTATTGTCAAATAATTAGTCTTTAGGGTATTCCTCTTGGTTCTTTGTAGAACTGCAGTTCCACCAGCTTTCATGGTAAAGGTTTCCCTTAGGTCCTATTATTTTCAAGTTTTGTCTTCTTCAAAGTTAAAATGCCTGCCTAACATTTCACAGATGTACACAAGGAAAAATGGTGAAAGGTCAAATCCTGCAACCTCTTTTACATCATGTTACGTGAGCATTACCCTCTAACTTATGCAGTTCTTGTGAATAAGATCTTGTATGTGCATAAGTGCTAATGGGATCATGCCCATGCTATCTGTAGCTACATGTTTTATGTATGAATTTATATCCTTACATTTGTGCTTTCAACACTGTTTAATGCTTTTTCTTCATACCCATCTGATTACGCTAGACTGCTTAATCTTTCTCTTCTGTATATTTGTCTGTATCGCCGCTCCCATCATTCTGTTTCTTTCCCTTTTTCTGCTACTTAATTCAGTCTGTCTGTTCTTCCATTTGCTCTCAGATACTTTCTTTGTAATTTGACAAAACATGTCAGATTTTCTAAGTTTTAATATCTCTGATCTCAATACTGGTGTTACTAGAACCTGAAAGCGAAATGTCAGACCGGTAGTGCCTGAAGTAGAACTAGACAGAAGACAAGACATATTTTTCTCCAGCTGGCATTTAAGAAATCACATGAAAGTACATAAAGGAGAGAAAGCTCAGTGTTCCTATATCATTATGGCAATGTTATGTAATTGATCAGTATGAGAGTTTTTCTAAGACCACATTCTTCGTGCTGGTTAGCGCATATTTAAAATACAATTAATAAGTCATGAATTTTAATCCAAAAGGAAGTATATTAAATAGTCTGAGCTCCTGTTTCACCCACTTACGCCCATATGAAACCAAGTAACTAGTTCTGGATAACAGATGTCCTCCAGAAACATACCTGGTTATGATGCAAAGACCTATGGAGATGGAGAGTAACTGTTCTGCGATGATGGTTTTATCTGGTAAATGATTAGTAGTTGTTCTGGGTAGTTTGACTTAAGGCTGCAATATGTAATCAGGCCTCACAGATTTTCTTCCCCACTTATGAAACAGTCATATGGAGGTTGTTAGTGGAGATTAGAGTTTTCACCCTGATTTTAGTGCCTTATGTGAATGCAGTAACAATGTGTTCCATTGTACATATGTATCTGCTCTTTAACTGCCCTGGTTTGCTGCTGGTGAAATCGGAGATTTGGTGAAGTTTACATTTGGTCAGAACTAGCTAAATATCCCGTTGAACTACTTCCCTCTTGCAAGGGAGCAGAGTTGCCCCTACGGCACATGCCCTGCCAAATCCTTCCGTGTCTGGAGGTAGGATCTAAACCTTCCCTCTCCATGTCCTTGGCTCTGCCTGGATTCTGTATTCCTAGAGATACTGAATATGTGCTATCAGTGCTCATTCTGTTTTAATAAAGTTGCAGAACCAAGCTTAGAGAGCCTAGTAGCTGCCATGAGCACTGTAGGCAGTCGTAACCATTAATTCTGCTCAGAGCACACTTAATTAACATGAGAGTTTCAGACCTGACACGGAAAAGCGCTTAAGCTGTGTGCGGCTTTGAGGAATCCTGTTGAATGGGATAATATGATGCACATGACGCTTAAGCACATGAGTACATTTAAGGGTCTTACTATATTGAGGATTTTAAAATGTATTTTCGAGGGTTTCACAACTGAGCATCAGCATTTGAAAGATTCAAAAGCTATGGATTAAACACTCACAGTAAACCTTCAGGCTAAAGTAGTCCGTCAGACAAATTATCTTTAATTTAAAAAGTAGCAGTGTTTCATTTATGGAAAAAAAATACAAAATTAGTATGAATTAAAAATAAGTAGCTTTCATAGGGCTCAAGCAAGCAATGTTTCAGCTCTGGAAGAAAATATGAATATATGAGATCACTTAGGAAATCTGTGTACAGTTTTATCACAGTGGAATTTACAGATTAACACTATGAATATTCTTATAGCCTGTTGTTGACATTGCTATGAGAAATTACATGAGGGGAAAAGTTTATAGCTTTTATTAGACTGTAATGCAGTTTAACATGCACCTTGACATCAATCTGAGTTATGTTTTAATATTTGTACTTATTTGAGAGTGAAACAAAAAATAAATTATGTCCATCTCCCACGGGCAAACACAGGCTGTAGATCTGATCCTCTTGGCTATACTCCTGCAGTAAAAGTTAATCTCAAGTGGATGTAGAGTAGGTAATTGCAGATTGACAGGTTTCTTGTTTCCATGGTGTGTAAAATGGCAGAAGTTCTTCACTTTGGCTCTACTTCTAGCTGACTTATTGAATAAAAAATTGGCTGGTGTGCAGAAAGGCTTTAAACTTTTATGTCTTTTAAACAATGCTAACCAGCAGATACACAGTGCTGACAGGGAACTTGAGAACTCCCACAAATTATCTTTCCAACAATAGTTAATGTGTTATTAAGAATTTCCATGTCTACATACTAATTATTCTTAGATCTGAGGGGTTGGGATTTTTTTTTGCAATTTAGGAGTACCTTTATTTTGTGTGAACAGATAATGCTTTGTTGCTATTGGCAATAAAACATGGTATGCTAAAGGCTGCCAAAGGGAAATGGTCTTTCGGGTAATAGAGGTCTGACATGAACCTGTTGTTGAACATGTTCAACAGGGAGCCCATGGGCTTTAGCCCCCAGGTGGGAGGTTGCCGTGCAGACAGGGGTGCTGGTCACACCACTGCTTTGCCCTGGCCAAATCCTGCCATGGGGGCTGGTTGCTGCTGCTGCTGCTGTTTCTGCCACGGGTGTATGCGTGAGGTGAGGGGCAGAAGCTGAAAATAGCTCCTACGCATCCTGTGAGGTATCCTGAGAAGTAGCTGTGGCAGTGATAGCCCAGCCTGTGCAGAGGTGGGCCTTGTGCCTGGCATGACAGTGACTTTGGGAAGGGCATGGGACAGTCAGTGATGGGGCTGGGATGCTGCAGACAGTGGCCAGAGAAGTGGGGAGCTCCCTGCATGGAGCTCGCAGGTACCTGGTGCGGGGGTAAAAGCTATTGGCATAGTAAGGAGCAGGAGGTCCAAAACCATACCTTTGGCCCCCACAGCTTTTGAGATTG